GGGATTAGGGCAGCCAGACAGGAATGACCCGCCGGCTGGACCTCAGGGTGGGAGGCTGGTGATGAACATTCCACGTCCCTTGTGTGGAGCTCAAACTAAGGTCTGGGTTGTACAGTCAGACTGCCGGTGGTTCTTAATCCAGCAGCTAGAAGGGGTCAGGAATCTGGAGAAGCGCTGTGTGTAAATTAATCAAGAGCCCAGAGACGAAGCATAATTTTGGAAGGCCTTTGGGGAGTCAGAGGAGACTTAGCTAAAGGAACTAAGTTCTCCTTGTCTCAGGACCCCTTGCTTTTTATTAACACAAATTGTCCTAAGGCGAGGTAGATATACACATCAAAGGGTAGGGTTTGGTATACAGAGTCCATTGTCAGATTGGGAAAAAACTGCCTACGGCTGTTCAGGTGTTTGGCCAGTAGGAGGCAATAACATGTAGATTAAGATGCACTCAGCTGTCTGGCAGCAAGCAAGCATTTTATGCATCCTTGTCAGGTTTGGGGAAATGCCCTCAGCCATTCCAGATGACTCAGCCCTGCTGACATGGTGGAACTGGCTTCTCGAATCAGACCCTCAAAATGGACAGCCTCCTGCCAGCAGCTGCCAGAGACCCTGCCTTTCCAGGGGCGGGGCAGAGCATGGGGCCTCCTCCCACCTCCCCTCACATCCTCCTTCACACTCTCGCTTCCCTCCAGCACACCCCAAAGCCGCCACCACGGCTGCCACAGCTTCCACTGTCTCGGCATCACCCAGCCCTCGGGGAGGGTGCTGTCACCTCCTGCTGTCTCCTCACTTCCTCTCCCCTTCAGTCTGCTCCTGACACAGGAGCCAGCGGGCCCTCACTTACAGTCCCGGTGCCTCCCCCTGCACTCAGGGGAAGCCAGGGTCTCTCGGCCCTTGATCCCTGCAGGATGTGCCCCCGACCCAGCCTCGACCCCCTTCCACTTGCCTCCTGCCCATCCCGCTGCCCCTCCATGGGCTGACCCTCTGCCCGATGCCCTTCTCCAGGCGTCTGCCTGCTCTCCTCCGTCCAGCCAATTTCCCTCAGCGAGCCTCCCTTTGCCCCTCCCTCCAGAGCCCCTATGTGGCTTCATTCCCATGTTTTCATGGTGCCCGTCCCTCTAACGGCTGCACCTCACATCTGTCCTTGCCTGGCAGAATGCATGCTCAGTAGGACAGGGCAGCTGGCTCCCTGCTGCTCTGCGAGCACCGGGCATTGCCTGGGACAGTGAGACGGGTTCAGTGAGATGCTCGGGCAGCGGCGCTGGGTGTAAAGGCCATGGGAAGGCAGACTCACTCAAAGGGAGGGCCGTGAGCTCCCGGCACAGCGCTCAGGGTGGCCATGGGAGCCAGGTGTTCCTTTTCCTGCAGGAAGGTGGGAGGGAGAGAATGACAACGGAGCGGTGTGTGTTTTCCCTCAACCACTTACCGGTGAAGCTGGTGCTTAGTAACCGTCAGCGCTGTGAACCCGCCCTCTGAGTGGCTGCTAAGGCTGTGGGAGGGCTGAGCACTAACCACCAGGGGCAGCTCCTGTGTTGAGCGTCTGGTCGATTGGTTGTTCTGGTCGTTATGCCCTTCGGTCTGCGTTTATATTATAAAGGATGCTGCCTATTAGAATATGTAAATGTAAGGCCCGACTCTATTAGAAAATATAATGAAGTTATCAGATGTTTGCACCTACTTAAAACGAATATACATGGATGGAGAGGAAAGATTTTTGTTAAAGATTTTTCTCAGTGTTTGATGTTTTGAAGGAAGGGCTATAGAATGCTTATTCATGGAACATACTGATCCACGGGGTTGCCGTGACAGCCACAAATGCAGATGTATCCAGATGTCTGTGCTGGAGGTGACTGGAACACCTTGGGGCATTGCCACTGTGGCAGGATTTTTTTGAAAGAAGAGCAATTTCCCTTGATTCACAGGACTTTGCACTTAAACTTTCGGTATATATGACATTGGGTGATGTAGTTTGTGTTCATATGTAAAGTGACACCAAGTTCCAGTAAAAACAGGGCTGTCACCTATATGGATATCCAGCAGCACGTTCGGAAGCGGGGTGGGACCTGCCCATGTGCTGCAGAAGGGCCACCCGTCCTTTCGACCCCCAAGTTCTAACACACTCCTGGGGGCAGGAGCCCTCTGTGGGCAGCACTGCTGGGAAGAGTGGCTGGCCGCGTGGCCCAGAGGAAGCGGAGCCGGGTAGGGTTTCTGCCTCATCACCCCCCCTCCCCTTGTGCCACTACCGTGCCAGCCATGGTGATGATAGCACTCGGAGCGTTCAGTGCCCCTGGCCACCGTGGTCCTGCTGACACCATTAACCCCCTCGGGTTGGTGCCATTATTCCCATTTTAAAGATGGAGACATTGAGCTCACCCCGTGCTGTGAGTGGTGGAGCCCCCCCCATGCTGTGAGTGGTGGAGCCACGCCGCCCCCCACCCCATGAGTGGTGGAGCCTCTGGCGTTTACCTTACAGAGGAAATATCTTAGGGGCCCACAGTTCCTGACAAGCTTGTATCCTTAGTGAATTTCATATTCAAAACACCCTAAAATTCATAATGTTATCTCCATCCTGTTGATTCGAACTGGCGCTGAGAAGTTAAGTCACTCTTCCTGGGTCCCAGAGCTAGTTGGTGCCAGAGGAGAGATTGTTCAGCTCTGCCTGACTCCAGGGCCATTCTTTTCGATAATGTGGACATGTTCAACCACCAGCACGAAAGTGCCCACAGTTCTTTCTAAAATTGGGCACAGGTTCTTTTGCACTTACTTGAGTGGTGGTACGTGCCAGGTCACCCTTGCCTCCTAGCCCTACATTTTGGTTTCTGGTCATTGGAGCTTATGTATCTGTTACAAGTGGAGCATTTAAGTCCACCTTCGCCATTGGCTTTCTAAATGCAGCCAGCGTGTCTGGGCCGCAAGCCAGGCTTCATGAGTGCTGCTAATATCCCTCACGACAGAGCCTTCTTAAATGTTATTTTTTCATTACAGTTCACATTCAGTATTATTTGGATTAGCTCCAGGTGTACAGCATAGTGGTCAGACAATCATATACTTACAAAGTGTTCCCCCCAATATTTCCAGTACCCACCTGGCACCACACACAGTTAATACAATATTACTGACCCTATTCCCTAGGCTGTGCTTTCCATCCCCATGACTTTCTGTAACTACCTACAGTATTTGTATTTCTTAATCCCTTTACCTTTTTACCCAGCCCTCCAACCCCCATCCCATCTGGCAACCATCAGTCTGATCTCTGTATCTATGAGTCAGTTTCTGTCTTGTTTGTTCACTTATTTTGTTCTTTGGATTCCACATATAAGTAAAATCATAGGTGATTTGTCTTTATCTGACTAATTTGACGTAGCATAATACCCTCTAGGTCCATCTATGCTATCGCAAATTGTAGGATTTTATTCTTTTTTTATGGCCGAGTAATATTCCACTGTGTATATGCATCAGATCTTTATCCGATCACCTATTAACGGGCACTTGAAAGTTCCTGTAGTTAGTCCTATTTTTGGAACTGGGCCGGTTAAAATCCTGTTGGCCCCTAAATCTTCCCTGCTGCTATGATGATAAAAAAAAATCTCAGGCAGAAAATGAAAAACAGCTGAGCAGTGTCTCCTCCAAAGGAACATAAACAGGATACACTCATCAGCAGTTCCTTCCACCAAAGGAAAAGTTCTCTAACACTCACAGAGCGGTCGGCGGGAGCCCGACCTACTGCCCTGCCTTCTGGAGAGGAGCACTCTCCTCCCAGCCAGCAGGAAGGGCGGGGTCATGGGAAATCAGACTAAAGGACGTGGAAGCTGCAGGGAGGGACGTCCCCGCATCCCAGGGTGAGGGATGTCTCTAACCCTTGGCAGGGGCCCCGCCACGGTCAGCCTTTAGAAGCCCCTGGTACCTCTCCACATGCATTTCCGTCCGTGTCTCCTTTAATTTGGCCGTTGTGTGCTTTTATGATAGAGATTGACCTGTTCCTCCGGTGGCTCCCGTGGGACAAAGTCCCATTTCTTAGTCTGGGGCCCAAGACCCTTGACCGTCATGCCCTAGTCTCCTGAGGGATGACCAGGCTTCCCTCACCCTAAGTCCACCGCACCCCAGGTGGGACGCCTTTCCCTCCTGGTGTTCCCCACTGCTCTGTGCCACTTCCCTCACTGCACCTGCACCCTTAGGGCCGTGAGCGTGGCATGTTTGCCTTTTCCCCGGGCACAGAACCCTTGAGGCAGGGCCTGCTCTGGTCAGGGAGGCTGTCCCGCCCTTGGGTAGGTACCTAACCCCGGTGTGTGGTCTGCAGCTAGATAATCAGACACACGTCTGTCTCTGGATCTGAAAATTCGTCCTTAAACATTTTTATTTGGGGGCGAGCAATTTTAAAGCACAAATCACTCAAGAAGGGTCAGCCTGCCAGCTAGCCAATCATTTCCTCTTTGGTGAGAGTGAGCGGGCGGCCAGCTTCCTGGGTGCTTGAGGTGTGGATGGGGTGTGACCCAACTGAAAGCATTTTACCTGCTAACCATCCCACCGAGGCCCAGCTGCCCAGGACTCTGCTTGGGCCCGCTCAGAGCTGCCTCTGCCCCAGCCGGCCCTCACCAGGAACGGGGATGTTGGCGTGGGAGTCAGGTCACCGCTGGCTGGGCCTGGGGTGCTGAGCTAGCACTGTCGTTCCGGCACCCTGAGTCCTGGGGCACCTGCTCTGCTGCCACAAAGTGCTCCCACTGATGCACCTGCGCCTGGGGAGAAAGCAGGCTCCTCCCACTGGTCCCTTGGTCCTGAGAAGCTATGTGACCTCCAAAAGCCCAGCAGTCTTTCTGAGCCTCAGTTTCTACAGTTCTCACAGGAGGACCAGGCCCTCCCCTGTGAGGGTGACTGAGAGGGTGAAAGAGGACCAGGTGCGGTGAAGCTGGGATTTCACATGGAGTGCACTAGTTCCCTTTCCTCCTTCCAGCCTCAGTTCCTCCTCTCCCCTTTCTTCTCCCCCTCCTCCTTTCCTCTCCTCTACTTCCTTCCTTTCTCCCCCAGAGTCCTTGGAGCTTGGAGGTGTGGTTTGTGCATAGTTATGCATAGGTGCCCACCCCGCTCCCCAACACCCATTGCAGGCATGCCGCTTGAAGACTTCAGCGCACTGTCAGCAGATTCCCAAGATGAGGAAAGTGTGCTCCCTGGCCTGAGAGGAGGGACACCATTTATTTGCACACTAGTGTGTATTGCATGCCCGTTTGTGTGTGTGTGTGCACACGCACACGTGCGTGTGTGCGTGTGTGCTCCTGAATGAATGTGCACATCTCACTAAGTTGCTTTACTGGCTGGCGTGCTGGCCTCACCTCCTGATGGCATCTGGCCCGGTCACCTTGGACAGCCCAACCCTGTTGTGTCCATGTCACACTGCATCTGACATGATGGGGCCTGGGGACCCAGTGGGCTGGAGCAGGCTGTTCTTCCATACATCCTCCAGGACAGTGGGCAGGTAAGGGGGTGAGGACCAGGGCAGGTGAGGGCGAGGAGGTGAGGGCACAGAGCCCACCTCCCACGGCCGGGTCTCAGCCAACAGCCATGCAGAGGGCTGCTGACCAGCAGAGGAGGGAAGGGAAAATGACCAGCGATCCTCTCCCCCACAGAGGCACCTGCCAGGGGCCCTGGGCTCACCCCTCTCCCTAGAGCCTCTGTGAAGCAAGGCACACCTGTGTGTGGGCTCCGGGTGCACTAGACGGTGACTGTGCTTACCACCCTTGAAGACGAGGCCATAGGCCCATATGTTCTTCAAATCCTAAAGCGACGTCACAGCAGGAAGTAATGTCAGAAGTCGTTTAGTGCTTCCCAAACGTTCTGAGGAAGTGCTGGCGCACAAATGCGTCGTAGGTCTTCTGGGAAGAAGTGGGGTCTCTGGCCAAATCCATCGGGGAGACTGCACTCGCTTCCCTGCCCTCACACCTCGGGTCACAGCACACACCGGGCACTGAACGTGTGGGCCCTCAACATGCGGGCAGCCTGCACTGCTTTCCTTGGCTCAATATGCCATTTCCCAAACCTGTCTGCATGGGTGCACCCTCCGTGTGGCTGCGTGGCACCTGGCAGTGGTGTTCTGTCGGGCACAGTTTGGGACATAGAGCTGTAGCCAAACCCTTCATTTCACAGAGGAGGTGGTGGAAGGCCAGGAGCCTGGGCCGCCCTGGGAGCGGTTGCACCTGGGGGCCAGGTTCCTCTCTTCTCTGTCTCTCCCCCACAGCCCTGGCTTCCAGCTCCTGTGGTGGTGGCCGTTCCCCACTGTGTTCAGACCCATTAGCTGCCTGGGGAGAGTGCCTGGGGCCCCCGGTTGCACTGGTGCAGCCCTCGGGGACCTGGGCCCCGGAGCTCCTGGTACCCAGGGAGCAGTCTTACTTGGAGCTGCTGGGTTCAGGGTGACTGCTGAGCTGCTGGGGGTCTCAGGGGGATTCCTGTGAAAGAGGATAGTTAGCAGTTCATCTTTCTTTCCTGCTACTCATTTTAAGTTATGATTATTATTCAGTGGTGCAATGAGGCACTTTTGTTAACTTATCTGTACATACCAGACACCCGGTACCACGCATAGGCCAAGACACAGCACCGAGCACATGGCATGTGTGTTAGGGCCCTCAGCCCCGAGAGTCGGTACCATGGAGGGATGCCCTCTAGAGGGACAAGAACGGTGAGGCCAGAGGTCAAGCAGGCTGTCCAAGTTCCTGGGCCAGGAAAGGGGAGCCAGGGCCCAAACCCAGGATCTTGTGCTCCAGCGGCTGCTGCAGGGAGGACGGTTCACGTGATGCCTAAGGCTGTGTTTCCTATAACCCACTTCAGAGAACAGGGTGTCAGCCAGGGCCGTTGGGGCCACCATTCCACCCTCGGCTTTGTTGCTGAAGCTGGTGCCCCTTGGGAAAAGGAATGCTGGTCACTGGTCCCTCCCCCTCTGTGGGCCCAGGACCCCAGGCCTGTCTGTGCTGGGGCTGGCAGTGCCGCTGGAAGTGGGTGGCCCAGCCCCATGCACCCGCACCGGCACGCAGGCTCTGACAGGGACACGGTCACAGCGCACGGTGAAAAGCCCGCCCTGGGTGGCATCTACTCTTCCCCAGACAGTGATGCTGATGCTGTTTGACCCTGGATGCTCAGTTATGTTTCAGATTTATTTCCTATCACTTAGAGGGGGATCAATGGAAGACAAAGGCACTTCAGCTCAGTCACCTGCTGCTCCCCCAAATGTCAAGGACTGACATTTGATGCCATCGTCCCAGTCAGCACAGCCTGACTCATTTCTTGCTTCCCCGGCCCCCACCCCACTCACACCCAGCAGGGACTTACACGTGCCCCGATGACAACTGCACTGCCCAGAGGACCCCGAATTTCCCCTGCAGACAAAGGCTGGCACCTGGGGGTCACCGTCCCTGGAAGGGGCCTCCGCATCTGGGCTCCTCCTCTGCTCCCGCGCCCCAGCCCAGGGTTCCAGGCCACGCGTGTGGCTTGGGCCGAGGGGGTGCTCCGGAGGTCTGCTTGGTGGCGGCGTGAAGTCCTGGAGTAGGAGGCGGCGTTGGGGGAGGTGAGGTCTGTGCCCTCAGATAAAGTACTCCTTTCTGCTGCTGTCCCCAGCATCCTGGAGCGACGGGTCGCCCTGCAGGGCCGCGTCTGCGCTCTCGGCAAACTCTGTGCCCTTGTCCTCATGCGTGTGGTACGTGCCCTTGTGCCGGTACATGTAGTGCAGTATGAGCAGGAGCAGGCCGACCAGGAAGAAGGCCATGGCGGTGATCACTCCTGCAGAGGGGAGGGCACCACAGCCGTCTGAGGGCAGAGCACGAGGCCCTGCCACAGGGGTCCTGGCGGGACAGAGCCTGGCCCATTCCCGCCGCTCTCCTCCCTGCCCCGGGCCCTCGCCCCTCCTCGGTGCCCATCTGAGTTGCTCTCTCTCTCCTTTCCCCACCCGTCCCCTCGGGGCACTTTGCAGACCTGTGGGTATGGTTTGTAATTCGTGTAAAGCAACTATGTGGGTTTGCCTGGAATGGAGTGATTCAGGGGATCAGAACTTGCTGGTTTTTTTAAACCAGGATTCCTGGGGCCTGGGACTTAAAGTGCTGGAAGCAGGAAGATACTGACACCGTGGAGCTGGCTGCCTGCTGTGCACCATGGGGGTAAGGGGGGTGTGGGGTGTGGGGGGGTAAGGCCAAGGGGATGGACTGTGGGAGCTGGGGCCTCTGGGACACGTGGGCGAAGTGTGGTTTCACTGCTCCAGGCCCTTCCCACTTCTCCTGAGCCCCTGAGAGTTGGGATCTGGGAAGAGCCTGCAGGGAGCAGGGGTTGGCCAAGCAAAAGCCTAAAGGGGCGGAATCTTGGGGGACAGGTGTGCAAGCGTGGGGTGTAGACTCATTTGGAGTCAGGAGGGGAGAGATGAGGTTTGAGGGCTGGTCAGCAGAGCCAGGTCACAGGGGCCGCAGGGTGACAGGTGAGCAGGGCTAATGGGGCCCCGGGGTGTGTGAGTCAGGCATTTGCTTTGAGGCCACAGAGCAAGCCTCTGCTTGCCCTTAGAGGCCGGTTCATTCGTGCCCCTCGGGGGATGTTAGAGAATGTGGGGAGGCGCAAACTGTCCCCAAGTCCCCTGAGGAACAGTGTCCTAACCATCCTGCTGCCTGTGGGACAGCACTGCTGTGCATGACGCTAACAGCACTGCCCAAGGAGGAGGAGGGTCAGGGTCAGTGGGCAGGTTACATAGAACTGAGAGCAGTTTGAGGGCAGCCTTCACGTCTTCCTACCTGGGTGCAAAGTCCCCGAGCTGTTCAGGAGCTGGGAGATGTGTGAGTCTCAGGGGGAAATAGCAGGCTGCACCGCCCAAACCCAGTCCTTCCTGAAGCGGTTTGGGGTCACAACCATGCCCAGTGGGTCACATGTTTTAAGGATGGAGGGATGGGGTGTGGGGCCAGGACATGGACTGGGGGGCGATGAGGACACAGAGAAGAGTTCAGGGAGCCCTGCCCATCCAGCACCCCCCACTCCTCTTGGAGTAGCTGTGTCCAGCCCCTCATCTCCGTGACTCCAGGGCCCTGTGCGCACCCTGCCGTGGGGCCCTCCCGCCCTCATCTCTCCCTCACCATCGGACACCTGTGGACACTTTCTGACGGGCCAGGCTCTTCCAGTGTCCACACAGAGCCCCTGGGAGAGGGAGAGCATGCCCCGCCCGAACCCTCAGCTGGTTCTCCTGCAGACGCCGCCTCCGACCCTCCTGACCGCTGGGAGGGCCTGGGCCAGCTCACCTGCCATGATGGCTATGTCCATTGTGGTCCACGCCATCCCGGGGCCGGGCTCTGTGAACAGAACAGAGGAGCCCAAGTTGAGAGGGGAAGGTCCCCGCCACCAGCGGTGTCTCAGCCCAGCCCGCACCCCCTGCCCACAGCGCAGCAGCTCTGTGAATGGCCGAGCGGACCGGAGACAGCACGTTGCGCAGGCCTCTGGCCAGGGGCACACAGAGCCACGCCAGGCTCCGCTCGGCCCTGACGGTGCTGGAGAGCACAGCAGGAACCGTCCGAGCCAGCCCCAAGGCGGGCACCTCCGGGGCTGTGTGGAGTGTGAGGGTTGCATCTCTGACCGCAAGGGTGCCTGCACCTGCCGATGCTCCACACACATCTGCAGGGCGCGGAGGTTGCCCACTCCTGCGCTTGGTACTGGCGCCACCTCAGCTGTTCTCACAACGATGGTCAAACCAGACCATCTGTGGCGTGTCCGCACGCGGACAGCTCGCCTGAGCTGGCGCCCTTTAGTGCTTTCTGTCTGTAATGTGACGTGCTCTTCACAGCAGTCCCAGCACATGTGGTGTTATGAGCCCATTTCGCAGGAAGGACACTGAGGCTCAGAAAGTGACCTACCCATGCTCGCACAGCCCGTCCAGTGGCAGCCGGGACTGCGGGCTCTCACCTCGGGTGCACACCCTTTTCTCTCTCTTGAAGCCCTTCCCCGAGGGCCCCCATCAGGAGATCCCTCCCTGAGACCCCTCTACAGGCCTGCGCACCCCCACAGGGGAAGGGCCCCTGCGCGCTCTCCTAGCTGCTAAGTGCGTTTCTCTGAAGCTCAGCCTCTGGCCAGAGGGCGAGGAGCCTGCACGTGTCTCCCCCTCTTCTGGGCCATGAGCGAGAGGAAGGATCCGTTAGAGCGTGGAAATATCCGTGTTCGCGTGGAAATGCCAGTACAGCAATGACACATATCTAAACAGAGAAGGCTCCTTCACGGCAGTCATTTCCGCTCAGAGCATCATTTGAATTCTAGTGCAATGAGGTCATTTGTTTGCTGGGGGGTCTTTGATTACTGACTCAATTTCATTAGCAGCTCTGGGTCTGTTCCGTTTTGTTCCTTCCTCATTCAGTCTTGGAAGCTTGTATATTCTAAAAACGCATCCTTTTCTCCCAAGTTGTCCAATTTGTTGGCATATAATTGTTTGTAATATTTTCTTATAATCATTTATAATTATAATCCCTTATAATCTCTTTCATTCCTTATTTTGTTTTTTTGGGTCCTCTCTCTTCATTTCTTAGTTTTAATGCAGTTTCATCAATGTGATCCTGGGTGAGCTGGGTGAGCAGCAGAGGCATTTGGCTTGAATCATGTGGGGGGCTTTTCTTGGCTCTGTTTAAGGACCAAGTACTCAAACCGATGAACCGGAACACCAGCCCTCCGGCAGGCCAGCCAGGCTGCGGGCTGGAGGGACCTGGGACCCGAGGGATCGCCAAGAGAGCCTCCAACATGGGCTCCTGCAAGGTCGTGCCCACCAAGAGGCCTGTTGGCAGAGCCGCTCTCTGTGCCCGCACCCCTGCAGCTGTGCAGAGCTGACTTTGCTCCGGCTGCGTCATGTTACTGAGCCCCGGGTAGGGACCCTTCAGCATGACCAGAACTGCCAGAGACAGGAACTGGCAGAGGGGAGGGAGCTTGCTGTCTGGGACGGTGGGGATGGTACGAGACAGTGGTTCCTAAAGTGCTGTCACCGGAACAATAGCATTTCCTGGGAGCCGCAGACATGCAAACTTTCGGGCTCCACCCCCGCTCTACTCTATCAGAAGTGCTGGGCTGGGCCGCCCTCTGTGGGAACAGGCCTTCTTGTGTTTCTGTGTGCACAGGGCTGAGACGTGCTGATGGAAGAGAAGGCTTCCTAGGGGGTGTTAGCAGATTGGCCCTGGGAGGACGAATAGGAGTTTGCTGCACAGACAAGAGTATAAACAGGCCAGGCAGAGAGTTCAGTGCTCGCACCAGTGCTCACCTTTACCTGCTTCTCAGCTTTCCCCCCAGATGTCACCCCCTGTCCATGACCTGTGACACGAAGGCTCCAGAGCCTGGGTTTGGATCTCTTGCCTCTGAGATCGGGGGCGGGAGGTGGGGGAGAGGCACCCTTGCTCAGCTGAGCACCCCTTGAAAGCCTGGAGTGAAAACCCACCCCCTGCTGGGTGGAAGGTAAGTGTGTGCTGGGGATCAGAGTGGTACTGAGCTCAGGAACTAGGTTGGGCTCCAGGGGCAGCTGTATGAGGTGCGTTTACAGTGGAGCAGGGTGTAATCTATGGCCAAGTGTGGATCTGGGATCAGACTGAGACACCGTCCAGCCCTGAGATTGGACAGGCACGAGAGGCCTCACCTGACCTTCTGCAGAGACCCACAGGGCCCTACATCTCTTGAGAGGAGCTCCACCAATGCCAACACCACAGGGGCCTCGCCACAGCCCCACGCCCAGCATCTCGCTGGTGCTCACCAGACCGCAGCTGTTTTCTGCTACTTGAAAGCTTAGTCCTTTCTGAAGAACTGAGAGTCAGATTGCACCCCATCGCCATGATGGCAGCTCGGGTTCAAATCCTGGCTCAACCAATGTAACAGTGGGGCAGTCGGCAAAGTGTTTACTATCGACCGTCTTTAGCTCCCGTGTATGTGAAACAAGGTACCTGCTTGTCCTCAGGACAGGAAATGAGCAATGCTTTCTCTGTAACGCAGACAGTGGTAGCCACATGCACACAGCTCAGAACAGGGGTTTATCAGTGTGGGCACTGCGATTCTGAGTCTTATGAACACTCCTGTTTGCATCGCAAAGCCGGTCACCTACGCAGTCAGTTGACAGGTCTGTGAGTCCACACAGGGCATGGATGCTGTCAGGCCCCAGCACTGCCCACTCACAGGGAGACAGCACCTGGTGCCTGATGGCCCTGGGTGCCCACGTGGCTGCAGGGAGCAGAGCAGGTCCCAAGGAATGGGCAGTGGGCCTTTGACCTCAGGGGCTATGGTCTCCCTGGCAGGTGCAACTGTTACCTATGGGCTTTATTTAGGGCAGTGCTTGTCACACAGTGAGTCTCAATCCACTTCTGGGTCAAGGGGTGGGGGTGGGGGGGGCGGAGAGAGAGAGAGAGGGTGAACGGGGAGGGAGAGGGACACACAGAGAGAAAATAGCTGAGGAGGCGTGAGGACTCCCCTGCGGTCGGGGGACTGTTAGGTAGAGCTTTGATCTTACTAGTACACACACAGGGACCCGAGTCACAATGTGAAGGGTGTTTCCAGGGTCATGCTCACCATCGCGTTGGGGACATTAACACTATAAGAGGAAATACATCAAGTCCTTGTCCCACAGTCTTTCATAAAAGAAAACTCAACTAAGAGATCAAGCAACGAGCAGGCAGGGGGAGAACAAAGCGGAGGAAAGCTGGTGTGGGTGACGCAGCCAAGTGGCTGAGCTGTGCCACACTCTGGCTTCCGAACCCCAGAGGTGGATGCCCAACGCAGCCTTGCCACTAGGCCAGGGCTGGGCCAATGGCCAAGTGCAGGGACCACCGAAGCTTCCTGCGAGCTGGTGATGAGAGGGAAAGGGAAGGGCTGACCTGTTCCTACACGCACACCTCCCACAGGGCGCAGGGGAAAGCAGAGGCAGGTCGGTCATGGAGGCCTCGGGAAATCCCACATGTGGGAAGAGCATACCTAAACCATGGCAGTGAGGGGATGGGACCTGGAGGAAGAGGAGGAGGAGGAGGAGGAGGAGGAGGAGGAGGGGGAGGAGAAGGCGGAGGGGGAGGAGGAGGAAGGAGAGGGC